GCCTCTGTGTGTGTGTGTGTGTGTGTGTATGTGTGTGTGTGTGTGTGTGTGTGTACATGTGGTGACAGTGAACTTGATGATTTTGGTAATGGGATAAATTGGAGGCTTAGGGACTCATGGAGACTCATATCATTTTTCTGCTTGCCTAACTTAGACAGACAAGCTGATTTCAATGTGGCTTTAGGCTCCACTGGGCCAGATGGATGGCAGGAAAAACCAGAAAGAAAAAAGTAATTAAGCTTCAATTTTCTTCTCCATGGCCTGATCACCTGTGTCAGGATGAAAATGTGTCCCAGGTTGTTATTAAGCTCATACATTTTGGGTATTTAGAAGTTCAGATTTGGTATCCTCATTTCATAGATGGTTACAGTAAAATATGCATTACTGTTCTTGGCTGTAGGAAATATGGAAGCTGAACTAGGATTAGATTCCAACACTCTTGAATTGCAGCCAAGACCTCTTCAAGTTAATAAATAACAAAATAACAACAAAAGAATATATTAAAACATACACTAATAAATTTATTGTAAATGCAATGTACTCAGAACTTCCTTGTGACATCCAAATATATATGAGCTATACAAAATGCATGTATAAGCAAATATCCCATAGAATGTGTTCATAAATAGCAAGGGCCCTAGAAACACTGCTAGTGGGTTTATTTCACTAGAAATCCATCCATTATCATTCTTTTTTTCCCTCTGAACATTTCATAAATCTATTGAAATAAACATATTGGAAGAAAAAAATCCCATTACCAATGCCTGACACGAATCTTGCCAAATGCATCATCTAATATTGGATGTCATACTGCAGTCCAATCCAATGAGTAGAAACATGCTTCAAAAACAGTTTGGGACTGAGCAATCAATATTAACTTGTTGGATCCTAATGTGTTTTTGTGAATGATTATAAATAGAGCAACTCACTATGGGGAATTTTTTCTCTAAGCTTATGGATGAAAAATGGCAAATGGTTAACAAGATCTTCTTGCATAAATAAAAATGTGGGTTTTCACTGCCAGGAAAAAAAATTGTTTGTTGGGTTTTAGAGTCCCTTCCTAGATTTCACAATTTCTAAGGCTATTTTTATGGTAAGAATGATAAAGAGATGTCTGAGGATAGATGAAGTTTTCAAGTGGGGAAGGACAGAAAATGTGAAGGATTACAATAGTTCATTTCATTATGAAATCTATTGAAAAGACCAAGAATATACTTGTGTAAATTAGGAAGCACTTTCAAGCAAGACCCTTTCAATTTTCTAGTTTCTGGGGCAAAAAGTACCTTGGGTGGCCTCTATGCTTCATATTGATGGGATGCACGGGATAAAAAGGATTTTATTCTGGGCACACATGCTATTGTAATAACAATTTAAATAAAACAAATAAATAAAAAGCTCAAAACTTTCAATTAAACAGATCATTTCTTTTCACTGTGTGTGTGTTTTCTTCCTTGCCCAAATGTACACATACCTTTTCAATCATTCAACAAATATTCGCTGAGCACCTACTGTTGCCTGCCACTATTACAGATGTTAGAATACTACAGTGAACAACAGAAAAAGGTTTAGGTCCCTGTTCTTGTGTATCTTACATTCTAGCATAATTTCAATAGACAAACAAATAATTCAAATAAACAAAGGAAAACATCAGATGCTAATTAAAATACGGGATAATTTATGTGCAATCATATAGCATAAATTTAAGTTGGAGTTCAGCTTTTTCCTGTAACATTGTCCAATAAATTTTTATCCCCATTGTCACATGATCTACCTTCCCTGTAACCAAGAAGTATTAATTCATTTATTGATTCAACAGTATTTGTTGAGCACCAACTCAATACCATGCACTGTCTCAGGCACTGTGGATACAGGTAAACAAACAAAAAAACACTCTCATGGAACTTTCTTGTATTATAGTATCAAGAATAAAGGGTGACAACTAGTGTAGGTAGAGTTTCAGCATAGTTTATTATAAACAACTCAATTTTATGTTAACATCAATTTTATGTTTAACATAGGATAAATGTTAATCTATTAAGTATGAACTTTCATCCCCAGTCTAATGCTTTTTATTATCATTTAATATCTGATTGGTAAAAAGTTCCCAGCTTCTACCCTTTTCTATGTAGCTTAGTACATTTTGGCTATTGTTTTGTTTGGCTTCATAATATCCATTGAGTTATTATCTCATCCTATCTCCAACTCATACACACAGATTTTGGAATTATTAAAAATAACACTATAAATATTTACTCCCCGTCCCATCCCTTGTATGCCCATTCAAAAGCAAACGCTGTTCTGAATGTTGTCTATTATTCACTTACTTATATATATTTTAAATTTTTATCACTTATTATGTCTAAGCCATATAGTGTTTGGTTGTACTTGCTTTTAATCCTAGAGATTATCATGGTAAGTGAAGTAAGCCAGCCAAACATCAGAGAAAGACAAACATCATATGATATAGCTTATATGTGGAATCTAAAACAATGATACTAGTGAACTTATTTACAAAACAGAAATAGACTTATAGATGTAGAAAACAAACTTATGGTTACCAAAGGGGACGAGAGGGGAGGGATAAATTAAGTGTTTGGGATTAAAATATACACACTACTATATATAAAATAGATAATCAACAAGGACCTACTGAATAGCACAGGGAACTATACTCAATATCTCATAAAAAATATGAATGTGAAAAAAGAATATATATTTATATATATCTGAATCACTTTGCTGTATACCTGAAGCTAACACAACATTATAAATCAACTTTATTTCAATAAAAATTTTTAAAATTTTAAAAAGTAAAATTTACTTTAAAATATCATTCCATATATTGTCACTTGGCATTTACTTTTTTGACTCAATACAGTGTTATTAAGATTCATTCATGCTGTCATACGTGGCTGCCATTCACTCATTTTTCATTGCTCCATAGTATTTTATGATATGACTATATAACAGTTTATTTATCCACCCTCCTAACTATGATCATTTAGATAATTTACAGTTTTCTTTGTTATTATGAGTAGTGTCTTCCCCCCAACATTTGTGTACATATCTCCTGGACACATGTAATAATTTGTTTTTGGGGGAGTATTTATCTAGGAGTAGAAGTGTTGAATTGTCTGCTATGAAACTCTTCAGCTATAAAACATAATGCCTAAGTGGTGGAAAGAGATGGTACCAATTAATACCCTCACCAGCAACATATAACAAATTGTATTAATCTACATCCTATATAACACTTGGCAATTCCAGACTTGTTAATTTTTGCAAGTTGATTATGTGTAAAATGACTTCCTGAACATAGTCTTCACTGGCATGTCCTGATTGTTAGAGAGGCTGAGAATCTCTAGATGTTTTCTAGCTACTTGTGTTTCATCTTTTGTGATGTGCCTATTTGTTCATTTCCTACTGCTTTTTGTCTTTTTAAAACTTGGTTTGTAGGCATTCTTTATATATTCTTGATATAAAGTTTTGAACCTTTGCTAACTATATATTCTTGATCCTTTTTCAAATATGTGTGGCAAATATCTTCTCCCAGATTATAGTTTGCCTTGTTTTAAACCGTCTTTAAGGAGTCTTTTGATGAAAAAAATTTTCTTAATATTATTGTATTCTAATTTTTCAATTGTTTTTATGGCCTTGTGTCTCTTCTTTAAGCCCTTTCTTACCCCAAAGAAAGGAAGAAGTTCACCCTAATTTTATTACATGTTTTAATATTTAGCTTTTTGACACAAATATCTTAAACTACATGGAGTTTATTTTTGTGTACTGTGCATGGTGGGAGTGCATTTTAACATGTTTTTCTTATAAAAAATCAATGTTCCTGGGTCCACTTGCTGAACAGTCTCTTCTTTTTACAGTACTCTGCATGCCACCTTTGACATACATCTAGGTTACACTGCCTTATGGATCTCTTTATGTGCTCTCTCTTCTGATACTGTCTTTTCATTCCTGTATTTGGGTACTGGGTTCATGGGTGTCTATTATATTATCAACGTATTTGCTGAGAGAATTGTGTTACATTAAATTATAGAGCGTCATGCCCAGACTAAGAATGACACCGTGTCATAAATTAAAGATTGTGATTAATCGAAATCTGTGAACTTGACATCCATAAAAGAGATAAAATAAATAAATTATGCTCAAAGAGCGATATTACACAGAGTTCCTTTTCTCTCTTTGATTTATTTCCTAAGGACAAGTTCCTTAGGAACAGTGAGATGACTGACTGAGCCAGTGGGTATAAAAGACTTTTAGAGGTTTTCAATGTACAACTTAAATGCTTTTTAAAAGGGACACACACATTTACTCTGTGGCAAAGGGCCCGGGAGTTAAATTCAGAAGTCCTGCACCTGTGGCATCCAGGTTTCTCTTCGCTTTAGCCACATCCTTTGCTGCTTCCCACCATGCTGATCTTTGTCTTGTACCACTAAGAGGCAGTATATTTCCTTTTCAAATCCTGTCAATACCTGCTAAAGCAGCATCAGCAGACCCTGCTGCTACTTGGTCAGATGACAAGTAACAAACCATTTCTGTGCCTCACACTGGGCTCTCTCTTTTCTTTTCTTTTTTTTTTTTTTTTTTAGTGATATGCATATTCTAGCTAGTTCCCTCCTTCCCCAGATCTACTGATAGTTTGCTTTTTTATCTCTACTTTACTCAGATGTTGCCTTCCTCAGTAAGGCCTTTCAAGACCACTCTATTTAGAAGGGCAGTGCCCCCTCACCCTTGATTCTCACTGTCACCCTTCTCTGCTTTATTTTTTCTGTATCACTTATCACTATTTGTCTGTCTCTCTTCCACCAGATTTTGGAACTTAGGTCTGTTTTGTTTACAGATATATCCCCAGCAACTACAACAATGCTTTAAAAATTGTCAATGCCTTGTAAATATTTGTTAATATGATTATAAACAAAGCACACAGTAGCTGTTCAATATATGTGTTGGGTAAATGAATACTCCAAGGGACTCACAGTTACACTTACAGTATTTGGCGTCTTTCCCACTGGAGGTCCAGGAGTAGTTGAAGCCTCAGGTAGTCAGGTCGTAATTGCTGGCTGAAAGACAAAATTTTCAGAATTCCACTTTCTTGTAAGGCTGTAATTTAATTTTACTTTGATGTGTTGAATTTTTAAACTATATGACTTTGGGGAAATCTGAAATTGAAAATATGCTTTGCTACACAGGAACACTGGCTGGCATAATAAGCAAAAGTCTGTAGTTTATGTTTAATGCCAACTTGTCACTGATTTTCTTTCTTTTTCTGTTCTTGTCACCAACTCAGATCATTGGGAGTATTGTCAAGATTAACATTACCTTAAAAATCCCATGACAAATGAAAAATACAATATAATAACAAATCACCAACCCATATTTTTAAGATTACAGTGATTGGCATATCAATATAGAGTCACCAGATTATAACTTGCCACAGAGTAACTCAAAACAAAAATATCAACATCAAATGAAAAAAAGATAGCATTTTGCCCAGACCTCAATATTATCATAACTGTAGTGTTGTGTTGTTTCTTTTAAGTCACATGAGGAAAGCCTTGCTATACTCACTTTGAGCACTTGGAGGGGTGACGTTTGGAGTCGATGTAGTCACATCTACAGGGGCTGTTGAAGATGGAGCTGGATAACCTACTTTGAAAAAATATTCCCAAATTGTCATAGGTATTTACTTTCACATGTTTAAATAACGCCACTATGCTTAACAAGGGTGGCACGTAGAGCATGGAGCATTAAGAGTTGGAAAGAATCTTAGTGAATACATACTCTAATGGCTTCATTTTATAAATTATGAAACTGAGTTCAAAAGTTCTATGCTTGTGGTTATACACCCAATATTCACACTTTCAAGATATGTTGTTTTAGCGTCTACTGTGTGCAAGACTATTCGACATGCAATGAACAATGAAGACAAGGTCCTCACCCTCATGGAACTTATCTTGTAGTGAATCTTCACAATTGTATATAATAGTTTCACATACTAAATATGGTTTCATATTTACTTCAATTCTTAGCTTTCAAAATCATCTCCATCTTTATAAGCCATCATAATTCCCATTCTCCTCCCTCCCTTCCGCCCAAAATGAAAGACTAATTCATATTCATTTGAAAATATCTCTGGATATAAAGCAAGGTAGATTGAAGAAGAAAAATACCCTACCACAGCACACTGAAACATGTTTATATGTCTTTAGGGAAGACAAATCTTTAATAGATTTTTTTATTTATATGTATTTCTTCTTTGTTCCAAAACATGTTCATGGTGGCTTACATAAATATGCAAGTGCAAGAAGATAAAAGAAGTGGATAGAAAGAGAAAACAAGGGCAAGGAAAAATGAAGTTAGAAAAAGAATGTTGAGTTTTGTTGAAACCTGACTGGGGATATTACATAAAATGCATTTCTTGATGTAGTGTTCTCTTAGTAGATATGGACTGCACATTTCGTCAGAACTTTCTAGTAACAATGCTAAGAAATAAAAAGTATATGTTATGCCATTGGACTTCCCTGGTGACGCAGTGGTTTAGAATCTGCCTGCCAATGCAGGGGACACGGGTCCGATCCCTGGTTTGGGAAGATCCCACATGCCGCGGAGCAACTAAGCCCGTGCGTCACAACTACTGAGCCCGTGCTCTAGAGCCCATGAGCCACAACTACTGAGCCCACGTGCTGCAACTACTGAAGCCTGCACACCTAGAGCCCGTGCTCTGCAAAAAGAGAAGCCTCCGCGATGAGAAGCCCATGCACCGCAACGAAGAGTAGCCCTTGCTCGCCACAACTAGAAAAAACCTGCCCACAGCAACAAAGACCCAACGCAGCCAAAAATAAATAAAATTAAAAAAAAATCAAATATCTATAAATAAATATATATATATAAGTGTACGTTATGCCATTGATGAACATTATAAGATAAATACAGTCAATTTTAAGAGAAACACATCTATTCTTTTTATTATGATTTAAAAATTTTTCTCCCCAGTCTTTATAAAAAAGATACTGTAAAATGTGTACAATATTCTCAACAATATCCTTACAGTATGGCAGCCAGTACGCTCATTCACCCTCAAGCTTTAGTTAGTAGTGAATAGCCTGGCAACTTCCCAGGTACCTCGATTCTGGGAAAGGGCATGCCTTAAATAGAAAACACGGGTAATCAAATCTCTGAAAGAAGTGTATATAAGATAAATAAATAAATGGCATTGTGGTTCATAAGAAGCTCACATAAGAGATGACCAACAACAATCGTTTTACAATGTAGCCTACCAATGAACACCAAAGACATACCACACACCAGCTCCATGAATACAGTTAGATACGGGGAGATGTGTCATAGGCTGCCTCACGCGATGCTGTATGAGGAATGAAAATGGGCAGCCAGCAGCAGGATGGGCAGAAAAAAGTGTTTTAAAGACAGGATATGCACAGCTTCATTTACCCAACAAATACTTATCGAGTTCCCACTATGTACTAGTATTGGAGACAAAGTGCAGAGAATGAGAGATTTTGCCCCTGCCCTTATGGAGTATACAATTTAGTGAGAATAAAGGTCAATATGGCAGATTACTGGTTGGCCACCAAACCCAGTCCTCTTCTTTCCGGTACAGAGAAACTACACTTCCTAGCCTCCTGTGCAGTTAGGTATGGTGGCCATGTACCAAGTCCCAGGCAATGGACTGTGAGTAGGAGTGATGGTTGTCACTTCAAGGCTTGTCCTATAAAATATCCCACATATGATCCTCCATGATCTTCCCTCATGTACTATCCAGGTATTATGACATAGAGTGACTTGGAAGCCACAACTTAAATGTGATAGAGCTGCCACAGCATGGGTTACAGAACAGAGCACTCAGCTACTTGCTTGTCCTTTTATTGGTTCTTTCTGTTAGGATAAATAAATTTGTATTATATCAAGTATAAACAAACAAAAGGAAATGTTGGAATTTGTTGTTATTGTAGTTTGTTTTCTTTCCCTCACAAATAGTATAAAGAGAATTGCAGTAGAAGATAAGTACTATGGTAGAGAAAATGCACTGTGCTGTGGGATTCCAGAGGAGGAACACATAAACAATGAAGACATGTGAGCTCAGCGCTTTCTGGAGGAAGTGATGTATCAACTAGGCTTGAAGGGTGACAAGAATTAGCCAGACAAGTTGGAGAAAGGGGGCAAGCAAGGAGCAGAATGTTCCAAGCAGTGTGGACAGAAAAGGTGGGAGAGAACTGAAGCCCGATCAGAATGTTGAAGGCACTCTGTGAGAAGAACAGGGACGAGGATAGAGAAGTAAGAAGAAGCTACATCCTTAAGATTCCATGGAGGAATAATATCCAACTAGTCCTTAACAGATGCTCTGACCCCAGGGTAAGTGAAGGGTGGCCTGGACTATAGCGGGAAGGCTGTGGGGAAGAAGAGAAGTGGACAGCTTTCAAGTGTGGGCTCTACAGGCTTGGTAAATGGCTGAATGTAGGAAATTAGGAAGAGAGAGAAGTCAAAATAACTTCCAGTTTTCCAGCTTGGGCAGATTTTTGGATCAATGCATCATTATCTGAGAAAATAAACAGAAAAAATAGCTTTGGAAGGGCAAGAGGCACGAAGATGAAATAAACTTTGGACAGATTGATTCTGAGTGCATATGAGACATTCAATTCTACAGGGCTGAGCATGTGAGTCTGAATCTTAGGAGTAAAATTAGGCTACAAATGAGTATTTGTGAGACATCAGCATGTAGACAGTAATTGGAGTAACTGAGAGTGCCAAAGAAGATGGGTCCTGGCAGAAGAGAAGAGGGCCTAGCATAGAACAATGAGGACCACTTCCATGTAAGGTACTGGCAGGAGAAAAGGAGATTGAAAAGGAGGACCCCAGGGAGGCAGGAAGAAAGCCAGGGGCTATGGCTTAGAGAAGCCAAGGTGACAGAGGGTTTCCAGACACAGGGCCAGTCAGTCCAATTCAGCAAATATTTGCGAGTGAGCGCTATGTGCCAAACGCTGGGTCAGTGCAGTCAAATGCTGCCAAGAAGACAGATTCCCTTCTAGCTCTTAACTGCTAGGAAGCCATTGCATTAGACTTGCATACAAAGCCTAAGAGACAGATTTGGAAACCACTTGGAGATGTGCAAAAGCAGTGTAGCTTAGCTATTAAAAGCATGAATTCCAGAGCCAGATACCGTAAGCTGAAGCCTCCCTTAGCTCTAAGTTAAATGTACGATCTTGGTAAAGTCTATTGATTGACCTGTCTCTCTTTCTTGTATTCCTCGCGTCTAAAATAACAGTACTTTTCTATAGGGTGACTGTGATGATTGAGAAATCATCACTTGTATGAATTCTCGTAGAAGAATGCCTGGCATGAGGTAAGCACTAAAAAGTAATCTTAGAAGCTATACAACAGGTCATCTGCAGTCTAGTTCAGGTGCTGAAAACACAAGCATATCGCAGCAATAGACGAATCTCCTGATGAGTTCTACCATTGACCCACTTTCCTTGGTCTTTCTAGAAGGACTCTGATTCCAGGTAACCAATCCCTCCCTCCCCAGGCTGGCCCAAGTCAAGAACTACATTCCAAAAGGCTGCACCAGAAAAGAGCTGTCTGGTGTGAAGAGAACGGCAGCGTGTTGGGCATTAGCTCTCTGATGGCATACTGATGCCTACTGGCAGAGTCGCCTGCAGCTCTCCTCTTCCACCTCACTGAGCCCCCGTGGCTCAGATTCTCGTGCAGTCACTGTAACTTCCAGCTCACTGCCTCCTACTGCTCATCAAGACAAATGGCAGGAAAAAATGCACCAAAAGACTGGCAGCAGGATACACGAAGTAGCTGTAGGGCAAGCTCAGATTGTCTCAAACTGAGTATTGGGATCACATTCCTGGACACCCCAGAGCTGCTCTTAGGGAATTGAGCCCTGGCGTTCTCCCACTGGCCCACCCTGGCCGGCAGTCGAATAGCAAGGAGGTCAGCCGCTGTTCACTCCCTGTGAGCATTTGGCTGGCTGTGCTCCACCACGCCCTCTAGAGGAAGGCCCAGGAAGTCTCTGCATCAAGAGCAGCTGTGCTTCTCCTCTACAACTGGCTCATTACGATTTTAAGAACCTATGGATCACAGAGTGAATCTGAATTTCTTTCTCTCATTGAGATGGCTTTATCTTTGTCCCTCTTTGCAATAATTTCTTCAGTTATCTATTTTTAAAATTTTGTAAGTTTACCTCGTAACTGTACAAGACAAAGTAAAAAATGCGTAGAAGAAAACTAGCCATAAGTAATCATTGGATACTGTGGGATACTGAGAGATATGATGTGCTCCTCCTAATTAATATAGGAAGAAAAGGTGAAAGAGGAAGTGAGGAGGGGAAGGGAAAAAGAACAAAGACTATCCACGTTTTAAACAATTCTCAGAAGGATAAAAGAAAGAATGATCCCTTTACTCTGGAACTCTGTTCCTTGCATAGGAGAAAGTGTGGCTTTCATTGTCAGTCATAGTCTCATCTCTTACCTCCCTTCCCATGGGCAAGCATCATTCATTCTTCCTCCCTTCCCCACTCTCTTCCTCTCACTGGGAGAACTGACCTTCACAGTATTCACCAAGTGACTTAGTAAGTGAAAGCAGAAAGGAATGGTTTTACAGTGGTGATACATCATAACAATGGTGACGATGATGGTGAAGAAAAAGAACGAGGAAGCAACAATCAGAGACCTTTGTATTGATTTGTGAGCTACCACCATCACCTAGAAATCTCAGTCTAATATGCAACTGACAGCCACCTTTGAAAATACTTTTTACTTAGAAGGAACAGACATTTTCCAATTGCCCACACTGGGTGCTAGCACTGATTAGTAACATATGATTTAATTCTGGCAGGATTCACTGGAATCCTGATGAAGTATGATAACTGGGAATTTCATTTGTATTAAAAGGACTGATTAAATGTTCTCTTCTAGAGGTCAGAAAATAATGTGACATAAATCCTTACTTACTGCAGATTTACTGCAGGGGAAGAATTCATTCGTTTGATTCCATCTAGCGAGTGTTGTTCCTGGACCATGGGAAGAGGAACACTGCCTCGGGCATGAATGCTGCCTTGATCTTTGCCTCACTGTGTCTCTTGCCTGGTTTAGATAACAGCTCTGCGCTTCCTCTCACAGGCAGCCCTGTGGAGTTTGTTGAGGGCTGAATCAGTGCCATAGCTTCTGGGAACAAAGGGATCAACGACAGCTATCACTATCTTGAGGGAGCCCAAGGTCATTTCAGTCTTATTCGTCTCCAGCTGAATTTTGTTTTGGTCTTGGCCTAAGGGTCTGTGCCAAGTTGCATAGGTTATTGAAAGAATGATCCCTTTAATCTGGGATTTTGTCCATCATGCAGAAGTCAGAGCTGAAGCCAGCCAGAGATAGCTTTACACGATGGTTCAAGGTTAAGGCCTCTTGTCATTACATGACACAACCTCTAACAATCTCCACATTGTTATCTCTTGCTACTCCCGGCCTACATTCTTTCACTTATTCACTAAGCATTTGGGAGCCTCTATCTTCCAGGCCTTGTACTTGGCACTGGGAATACAATGATTAGCTTCCCTGGAGTTTAAGTTCATGGAGGATATGGACATTAACCAGAGAATCACATAAACCAATCCAAACATGAGAACATTTGAAGGAGAGAAGGCCTAGTCAGAGCCCCAGGAAGGTTGCCCTGAGGAATGTAGAGGGAGAATGGAGGCAGGGGAGGGGCTGTGGGAGCTTTAGGGTAGAGGACACAGCAAGTGCAAAGGCCCTGGGGTGGTCTACACACTGTGGTTTCGTATTAGTAATGTGTGGTACTTGTCTATTCCAGGGCTGGGCCTTTACAAGCCCTCAGAAGTGTTTGTTCTGTGTGTTGAACTGAACTGAGTGTTGTCACAGTGCACGTCCATGGCCTCAGCAGCAGCAGAACAGTGATCAAACTGTGGCACGCTGGTGGCAGCCAACGCTGCTTGTTTCTCTGAGCTGTTTTCTTTTGTTTTATTTCTGTTTCTGAAAGCAATCCCTTCCTAGAGCCTGACCTAGAGACTCTGTAACTATAAGAGGACATATGTATCTGCCAATCTCTTGACATCAAGTACAGCATTTTATAAGACTTGCCTTCATATTCCTTTCAGTCAAGTCTTTAAAAGATTTGTATTACATATTTCAGCATGCGAATAAGCCATACTTGCTTTTTGTCTTTTCTGTTTTAAGGTTATGTTTACACTCACAATATGGCAAAACCTCTTCAGCATTCAATAGTTGGTTTTATATTATGAAATACTATGTAGGCAAGTAATATGCCAAACCCAGTGATAGACAGTTGTTTGCTTTGTTTGCTGGTTGTTTATTTCTTCTTCAGTTTGAATGTTTATTGTTATTTAACCTTGTACATGTCCAGAGGTACAAAATATTGATTCTTGGTTTCCAGGAAAGAAGAAGGGGTTTAGAGGAAAACACTGCTTAGTACAAAATGGCTTGCTATATTAATTCATAAACTGCCATGAGGTTAGATGAGATTTGAAACCTTTTGAAGCCCATTTCTATTAAAACTTAAAATGCTTTTTCACTAATGTTAAAAATTACCCCTTTATGTTATCACCAGAAATTTAATGAAGTCAGAAGACAGCTCCAATCAACTCAGAAGACAGTTCTGAGTTGGGTGGGGGAAACAGAGATATGTTCTATAAGAGCTAATTCTGGTTGGCTCCTTGTGACATTAGGAAGCAAAACCCAATCTCTTAACCTGGACTCTTGTCATCTTCCCAGTGACCATCCCTCTCACTGCCGGAGAGGGAAAGGCAGGGAAATGCTAGAGGCCCCATGTGGATTAATTTGGGGGAAATACTGAAATATTTTCCAAACAATTTAATTATTTAACATCGACTACTATGTGCCAAATAAAGAAGACAGGTGAGCAGTTGTGATGTAAGTGGAGAATAAAGGATAAAATGATAATGACAACAACAAAAAAGAAATATTGATTTGGTCATTGCTTCCTCCTTCAAGGAATTAAAAAATACAAGTAAAAGTACTGATTTATTTCAAGATTAATTTTGCTCACTGGACTCTTCTTTTGATCCCTGCCTACTTCTTGGACTGGACTGTGTGAGCCTTAGCTTTAGAGTTGCTCTTTATGCATTTTTACATTTCATACTCTTAATAACCATGTGAACTAGAAAATATTACTTCTGTTTTTTTTTTTAATATAAAAAAACAGTATTAGAGAAGTGAAATAACTTGCCCTGGGTAACAGAGCTAGTAGGTGGCAAAGATAAGAATTGAACCCAAGCCTGTCTGACACCAAAGATTATATTCAATCCACCCTGGTAGCCTTAAAGTGTAGTTAGGCTTTATGGTTTATCACAGGCTACT